CAAAGAAACAAACTACATACCTCTCACACCTTCTGAAGAGAAGTAAATGATAATCTAAAACCAAGGACACTAGAAATAATTAACCTCAAATGCCACATCTCTTTGTTTCCTGTCAAACAAATGTAGCTGGTCAGTTCTTTATCTCAGAACCACTGATGTGAGAAAATATGGCCTTCTTTAAGATACTTTGGACACGCCTATGATTTCCACTGTGGGATTGCAGAACTAGAAGGACATTTTGTTGTCTTGGCTGCTTCTTACCTGGCGAACCTTCCTGAAAGGTGTTCGAAAGGTACCTATCAATTTTACTTGCAGGACTGGGAACATTTAAAATTTGATTCTTATTGGTAACACATATTGATAGCCCTTTCCTTGTAAAGATTACTCTCATGCTAATATCTCACCACCCATTTATTTCTCTTCTCCTCAGTTTAAGTTCTAGGCCTGGATGTATCAATACATTCAGAAGAATGGATGGTAATTATTTATTCAAGAAGAGTATCTCTAAGTTAGTTAAGGGTCCACAGAGTCAAATGCTTTTGCATCAGCGATAAAACATAGACAAATATCTATCTCATATCCTCGGCTTGCTGACATTAGCCATGATATAGCCCCCACTCCACATCCTTTTCTGAATCTGACTTGAATTTCTGGCAGTTCCCTGAATATGCACTGTAAAAAATGTTACATTATCAGCAGCAAGCTATTTGTCTTCCATGTTTCTTCACATAGATGAATGAGCACTCCCGGCCTTGTTTTCATTTGTTAAAATATCTCAGTTGGCATTCTGTAAATTATGTCTTCTTGTTGTTGAGTGTCTTCAAGTCGGAACCGACCTGTAGCTCACCCTCCAACGGATTTTCAGAGGCAGTAAATCACACAGGAAATTGTCCATCCTTCTCTTCAGAGCAGCTGGTAGATTCAAACCTTTGGGATTGCAGTGGAACTTCTTAGCATTAGGCCTCTAGAGCTTCCATTGATTTCTAGAGCCTTGTTTTTAGCTATGCCTTTGCTGTAACTTGGTCTTCTTCCATCAATTCTGGTCTTGTCATCAATTCTTCATCATATGCTATCTCCTTTAATGCTTAATTGCTGATCCATTTTTCTTGGTACAGTGATACTGTGTATTCCTTCCATTTTATTTTGATGCGTCTTATGTCATTAAATTTTCTCCCCATGGAGTCCTTCACTTGCAACTCAAGTCTTCAGTATTTTCTGTAATCTCTTCAGCTTAAAGTGGCAACTTTGGCTTTCCCTTTTATTTTCCTAAATCCAAGTCTTTATGTGCTTCCTTGTACTGCTTTAGTTTGTCTCATCAAGTCACCCTTTGAAATTTTCTGCTGAGCTCTTTCATGTCATTCTTTCTTTCCTTTGCTTTATCTACATTCAAGAGGGCATTTCAGAGGCTCTTATGATACCTATTTTGATCTTTTCTTTCTTTGCTGTCCTTTTCTCTACTTTCCTCATGCTTGATGTCCTTGATATCATCCCACAAAACATTTGGTCTTCAGCCAGTAGTGTCAAAGCTAATCTTGTGATAGTTTATAAATTCATACAAGATAGATAGATTCAAGGTCATACTTTGGCAAGTGGACTTGTTTTAAATTTCGTCACCTTCAACTTGAACTTTCATGTTAGTCATTGATGGCCTCTTCCTCATTTGACCCCTGGTCTTGTTATGAATGATAATTTTTTTGGTTTTCTATATCCTTTTCTCCAGATATAGTTTATTTGATTCCTGTGTATTCTATGTTCATTGTCGATGACTGTAGTTGCCGTTTATGTTGTTAGGAGGAAAAAACTGTATATCCAATTAAGAAGTCACTAGTCTTACAAAATTCTGTCATGAAATCTCTGGTGTTTTTTTCTGTCACCAAGGCCATATTTTCCAACGACTAATCCTTGTTCTTTGTTTCCAACTTTCACATTCTAATCATCAGTAATCTTCAGTGCATCTTGATTGCATGTTTGATCAATTTTAGACTGCATTGCTGTTGTTGTTGTTGTTATGTGCCATCGAGTCGCCAGCGACTCATAGCAACCCTATGTACAACAGCCTTAAACTCCGCTCTGTCCTATGCCAATCGCACCGTCTCTGACACTCCCATCCCAATTACCCCAGTCACTGAATCAATCCACCTCATAGAGGGCCTTCCTCTCCTGCGCTGTCCCTCCACCCTCCCAAGCATGCATAGTTGGTAAAAATCTTTTAGTTTATCTTTGACATTAATGGTTGATGCATAAATTTAAATAATTGTCATATTAAGTGATCTGCCTTGTACACAGACACATGAACATTAATTATCCTATCACGGACCACATCATACTTCAGGACAGAACTTGAAATGTTTTGGTCATTTTTTTTAATTTTTTTTTTTTTTTTTGTCTAATGAAACCTTCCTCTTCAATTTATTTTCTATGTGGTAGACCACATGATTGTGTGATTGAAAATAGCCAATGGTAACTATTGTTTTTAGCCCACTAACACCCAGCTATCACTTCTCAGGTGTTCTGTTTCATTTCTGACAGCTTCCAGTTTTCCAGGATTGATCTTCACGAATTCCACATTCCATTTCCTAATGGCTATTTGCAGCTGTTTCTTCTCATTTGAGGTCATGTGTGACCTCGACAATGTTCTTAAGCTTCCCTGTCTCAGTTTTTCCCATCCCTGAAATAGAGGAGTTTTCTATGTTGTGAGATACTTGTGAAGATGAATGAAGAGCAGTTGTATCAAGCAGCACCACTGTGCCAGCCACCCAGACTGTGTGTCCTTGGGGATTTTCATTTCCCCCTTCCTCTTTGGTGTCTTGCCCTGAGTGCAGGGGTTGGTAGGTGGGGACTGACAAGTCCCTTTGCACACCCTTCCAGTCATCCTGACTCCTTTAATTTTATGCTCATTTCATACTCTTTTTAAGTGATTGCACCCCAGCCTCTCCTTGTCTGATCCTCACAGTTGATGCTGACACTTACTCTCTCACACTTTTGTGCCCTTTGACCTCATCGTTTGCCCCTTGAATGCAAGAATGTGCCCTTGTTCTTATTAGCTGCTGTTATGGTGTCCCCACCTCTTGGCAATTTCATCCACAACAGAACAGAATGCTTCCTGGTCCTTGCACCACCTTCATGATCAGGTACACATGGAACTGTTGTGATTTACGAGGTTTTAACCATTGTCTGACTTTCAGAATTAGATCACCATGTCTTTCTTCCTAGTCTACATGTCTGAAGCCTGTTTGAGCCCATTGAGCATTCGTGCGGGCTGATCCTCAGGTACACTGGCCAGGAATTGGACCCAAATTTAGTTCTACCTCTGAGCCACCGTTGCCTGGAAAACAGACTAGGTCTTATACCTATGCTTGGCTCGTGGTACTTGGTCAAGTGTCCCAAAGGGCATGCTTGGCTATTAAGTTACTACAATCAAAGGACTGGACCAGGGAACTATCCTGTTCCCCAGGTATTATCTACACGGGAACCTCATCGTAAGACCAGGTATGAGGAGAAGGAATAGCTTTTGCGTTTCTCCCTCTGGTCTGCTCTGCCCCAGCTGTAACACCACTTAAGTGTCTTCTGTGTCAGAGTCATTTGGGGAGACTAAAAAGCCCAGTTGAGCTTCTCTGAGAGCTGCAGGCACTGAAGCCCAGCAGGACTCCCTCTCTTTCTTAAACCAAACAAAATATTGTTACAGCAAACATGAAATCTTTCCTATTTTTCACAGATGCTCTCCAGGCCTAACAAAGCTAGCAGTCACACTCCTTGAATCAAAATCACCATCTGCCCTTTCCCTCTTGATATCCTGTACTTTCCCAGCATTTTTGAACAACAATAACGAGTGTGATTATTTTATTCATTAATCATACATTTTTATTGAGTGCTTTCTAGTGGAAAACCCTGGAGAGGAAGGGGAAAAAATTATTTAAAACCTTAACCTGACTCTCTTAATACTGATTAAATGCAGAGGTGCAGAAAACATATCAACCCGACCCGTGCTCTCAGATATCACACTGGAGTGTTTGAGACAAGCTGTGAACATGTAAATAGTATATAAAATCAAAGGCAACCTATGACAAAGGAAACGTGAAGTTCCTTGTCGTGCAGGAGAGGAAAGGCATTTGTACTGATCTGATTAAATAAATAAATAACTAAAGCTCTTGCAAGGGGGATTTGGCCTTTAACTCTCTTTGAAGCATCTTAGAGACTACTTTGATAGCGGGAAGAAAGCCAGAGGCCGTCTCCCTAAGGAAATTATGTGCATCTACAGGCAGGCAGATGGAGTCCCTGGGTGGCTAAGACAGTTAAGTGCTTGTCTACTAATGAAGAGTTTGGAGATCCAAATCCAACGACAGGTGTCTTGGATGAAAAAAGTCCAAGGTGATTCCTGAAAAATCAACCATTGAAAACCCTCTGAAACAACAGTTCTCCTTTAACACAAATAATGTCACCGTGAGTCAGAAGTGACGCCCCAGCGATTTGGTTAGGTTTCATAAGTGCTAAGGAAAGGAGTTGTGATGTCAACTCAGAGGTACACAGTTCAAATCCACCAGCTGCTCTCCGGGAGGAAGGTCAGTCAGTCTCCTCCCATGCAATTAAACTGCCTCTGCAAACCCGCTGGAGGTTCAGCTATGAGTTCATCCTGGCTTGACGGTATATTATAACAACAACAACATATGTGAAATCATAACTACAGCTTTGGGGATTGTTTGCCTAGCAAGCTCTGCATAGGTCACTCAGAGAATGGTAGAGGCGTGTCAGGTAGGAGAAGGCAGCCAGAGAGGGCTATGAAATTAGAGATACGGTGGACACCAGGTGGGAAGGTCACTGAGACTAGTTTCCTCTCCTAGGTGGTGCCTGTATCTGAGCTTAGAGCTGACTGTTTTTCAGCTTCGCCTCGCTAGCTGTGGAACCAGGTTATGATGTGCTCATGGCTGGTTAGTTGTCTTGAGAATACTGTGTGCAGACTTTGAGGAGTTAGCACTAAAGAAAACTCTTTTCTTCTTTTCTAGCTTCTCACAGCCAGTGACCTTGCAGCCAGCGACCTCAAAGGATTTCAGCCACAGGTAAGTCCCACTGTTCCTTTTATGCAGTTTGGAAAAAGGAAATGTTACTGAGTTCAGACCAGTTCAAACAGTAGGACAAACTTGGTGGTAAGGGTATGAAGTGCTCCCCTCCCCCGTTGGGTTTCCAGGTCCTGTCTTGAGATTGCAACCATCAGAGCTACCTGACAGTTGCAAACAGTTTGCCTTCTCTTCTCTCTCTCTCTCTTTCTCTCCCTCTCCCTCTCCCTCCCTCCCTCTCTCTCTCTTCTCTGTCTCTCTTTTCTACTCTTCTTGCTTTTTCTCTAAATGTTTTCTAGTGAAGGGGCAAATTTAGATCAAGATACTAACAACTAGTCAACAAAGTAGTGACTCAGCTCAGGAATGGGTTAACTCAAAGGCGGTATTGGAGTGGTTCTCTTCATTTCTCATTTTGGGGTAGCATATCCATGTTTCTGTAATCTTCATGTGCAAATGCCTGGCAGTCATGGTCAGGTGGCCAGGTTAATCTCAGACTCCTGCAGAGACAGATGGTTGAGTTTTGCTCATCTTGGGGGAGGAAGTGGGCCACTATTGTCTTAGGCAGCATGCTAGAGGTTGTGGGGGGTGGAAAGATCCAGGAGGGAGCAGGTGAGGACTCTCTGGGCTCTTCATTGGCAGAGATTGAAGATGTGCAGTCACTCTTTCTGTGTCTCAAAGGGAAGTTACTACACACACACACACACACACACACACACACACACACACACACACACCCCGGGCACGTAGAAGTCCTTGTGTTCTACCAGGAACTCCGTGTGATAGAGCATGAGGACAGAGGACAGTAAATCGAAGAGTGAGGGCTAGCGGGCTCAGTGCCTATTTCTGCTCCCCCTTCATTGTGAAACAATCCTTTATCCCTCAAGTCAGTGCCTGCCTCAAGATCGCAGACTGTGTTTGGTGGAGAGATCACGCCACAGCAAATGGCAGCGAACCTCATGAAGTAGAGTGAGTCATTTATATTAGTAGCAGTTCCATATATTTGAGGATGTTCATATCTTAAAACCTCCTTTGCATCCAGAATGTCACTATGCCTCTTTGGTGAGAGTCTGTTGCTCGTGTCCACTCATGTGAAACTGCAGACTAGAATCATGATAAAGAGTGGAGCTAGAAAGCTTGGAATAACACCAAGAGTTGAAAGTGAGAGGCCAGAGGACGAGGCCCAGGTAACACCAACAGGAGTTAAATCATGGCACCATTTCTTAGTGTAGATTTTTGCCTGGTCGGTTCATTTTTGCAGTGAGATTCTACAAAGTGATTGTAAGCTTTGGTGACAAGCACTGAGTACTGCTAATTAATTAGGATACTTCATTCCAATCTTCAAACAAACTTCCCATTGAGCTAAAGGAATGAAAAGGATAAAAACAGAGAAAATCAGCATTTATCCCACATCTACACCTATACATGGAGGCATCCGTCTTGCTAAAAATTTTTTTTATCTGAAAATGTATAAAACTAAAGGCAAGAAATGTTTTTTTTCTATCATGTTTTGTAGCTTTAAAGGGAAAGTCTTTGTCCAGAAGATTATGTTGAGGTTTTTTGTTGTTATGGTTTGCCTGTGTGTCTTTCTGAGGCAGCCATATTCTCTCTCCATGTTTTGTTTAGATAAATTTCTTGATATTAGATGTTACATGCACTATTAAGTGAAGAAAAAGCCAGGTGTATATCCACAATATTTGAGAACATGATCTTGGAAAGGCAGCTTCTGTGTTCCCACCCATAACCTCGTACGATCACTTCTGTTTTCTGTTGGGTCTTTCCACTTTGTTCTATTTGTATGTCACCCCACACCCCATCCCCATCTCTAGACTGGAATAAAAAAAGCATGTTTTTGACTCCTCAGGATGCCTGTTGCTGAGTCAGAAGTCCTGGGAATCTAATGGTGAGGGTGTCATACCCAGATCAAAGTTTATTCACTCATGCTCTTCCAAAATCAAAAGGCCCGGATGTCCTCACTCAACATCACTCCTTTGGGTGCTTCTTCACACAGAAACAGCGGCCTACAAGCTTCAGCCGCCACCTCCCACCCCCTGCCCGGCTCCTCTTCGCCAAATTGGTGACTTCTGTCATTAGTTTACCTTTCTCTCTTTGCCTTTGCAGTGGAAGCGAACCTCTGCACCCTAACATCCACAATCATTCACGGACATATTCCCGTGTCTCCGTGAGGACCTCTCACTGGGCTAGCTGTTGTCTTGCCTATCAGCTCTTTCTCATGGCCCACACTTCTCACTTACACCTAGAGGACATGTTTTCATTCTTCATCTTCCTTGAAAGCTCTTCCTGCTGCAGCCTGTGAAGGAAAATAGTCCCGTATTTCTCATTCGTCTTTGTTGCACTCAACTTTGGAAGCGTGGAGGAAATAGTGACTCTACTGCCCACTGGACTGGAATGTTCTCTCTGGCTTCCTTTGTGCTAGAGATGTGGAGGAGATGGATAAGGATGCCATTTTCTGCCTTTCTCCCGTGGTTACTGGTTTTTACTGACACCAGGTTCATCCTTGGAAAGAATCTACCAGTGGTTCCATGAGAGAACAATGGGCAGTCTCCTCCCATGTGATTTCCAGCTTCTGTGAAAACATGCTAGAGTGTCAACTATGTGCCAGGTTTCACTTAAGGAGGTGAGTGTGAGTCTTGTAAGTGGAGCCTCGTAGATGATGCTTCTAAGTGATAGGATTGCACATTAGCAGTGGGAGGGCTTCCTGGACTAGGGAGCCCAGCTCAGCCTTGGGATGGAAATAAAGTCAGGTCAGCACTTCTCAGCAAATCATAAAGGCACAGATGTAAAAACTCCTGAAGCTCCTACCTAAGCCGCCTCATCTCTCTTTTCATTCCTTCCATTCCCTCATTATAAAGCTGTATTTCTTATAAGAATTAGGAAAATATTTGAAAACATTTTTTAAAGTCTCCTATTATTTAATCTAGAAATAGAAAGCCATTTTGCTTGATAGCTTCATTCAATATAGACATAAACGTCTTATTGTCTTTATGTTGTTTTATTGTTGTTTGGGTTTTTCTTGACTTCAATCATACTTTAGGTATCTTTTAGTTACCTTCCTTTTTATTTGTTCAGCTTCTCATGTCACTTGAAAGTTCTCAATGTCTGTCCAGGTTGTTAGTAGCATCATTTATTTAGCCACTTGTCTGTTTTGCTGTCCATTCCATTCCTTTTGCATGCTGAGTTCTACGGGAGCAAACCAAGGCATGCACATGCTAGCATCCAGAGCCCTCATCCAGAATACAAATAGCATCCAGGCCTCTTGGGCATTGATAACTGCTTCTTTCCTAGTTCTTCAGGAGATGTGAAGATTCCGTAAACTTTGAAATAAAATGCTCAAGAGTTCAGTGCCCATGGCCATGTATGCGTGTACTTGCAAAGGCCCAGGTAGGTGAAATGGTGAGACAGTACATGTGAAAACGACCCCGCACAATGGCTGGAACACACAGCACTCATTTCGGTGTCTTCTGTAAAGAATAGTTTAAGAATTAAGGTGAAGGAGAAATGATATCTCAATGGAATAATTGAGGAAGCCTTCTAAGTACATGTCCTGTGGTACCTGGGGACAGATGGATGTGAGGGAAATGAGGTAGTGAACTTACTGCAGGGCCGGAGAAGCCTGAGGAAGACCAAAGCCAAAGGCACGTGCAGGGATGCTGGAATATGTTCTGGGAATTTGGAAAGAAAGATTGAATTGCTGTGGTACAGAAATAACATTATAAGAATTTAGTTGCAAATTAGATTGCAGTAAAATTGTAGAAGTATTTTGTAGTCTGAAAAAAGAATCAGACTTCTTTTTTTTAATATAAATTACCACTGGAGTTTTCAAACTTATGCAAAAATAGACATACTAGTATAAATAGTATAATAAGCACCCGTATACCCATTATACTGTGTCAGTGATTTACTGATTTAAAAAAAAATTAAAAAATTCCTGACTTGTAGCATTTGCTGATTTCTGTTGTATAAGTATTTTTGTCATGACTGATTTGGAGCTCCCAGAGCTATAACAACCTGCTCACAAAGTTCTTGAATATTTAACAGTCAGCTCCGAACTAACACGGGCTGACCCCAGCATACCCCTGGGCAGCTTCAGCAATCATTACCATTTTGCCCATCTTACTTCAATGACTCGCACACCTACTTTTTTTATTTTCATTTTTTGCGGGAGTATTTTTACATAAATACCAGCCCACATATTATTTTACCCACACATGTGGCCATAAATTTAGCTAACAAATAAGGACTTTTCACAATAACCATGTCCTTAGCATAATTACCAGAATTAACAGTAATTCTTACAATCTTCTCATATCTGTGTTTACATTTTTGCATTGCTTAACATATTGTCTTAGAGTTGATCAGTTTGAATCCGTCTCCAGAGCTTTGAATTTGGGATTCATCTAAAGACAGTGGGGAGGGAGTCATAGCTGTTGTAAGAAGAAGACCGACTCCATTGGTGGAAGCTTTGATGAAATGAAGAGATCTTAGAAATGAGTCTGAGCTCCAGTGGCCTACTTCACAGGGAGTTGTACTGCTAACCCAAAGATTATGGCTTTCTGGTGCTTCAGCTCTACCCACTACTAGATGAGAGAATGAAAGGCAATCTCTCCCCTCATTTGTCTTATAGCCTCTGAAACCCAATGGAGGGTCAGCTATGCGTTGCTTTCAACTTGATGGCAATCAGTGAGTGAGTGCATGAATATGAGAAGAGTAGGAAGTGAAGCTGGGCTGGGATCAGTGGGAGTGAAGCTGAGGAGAAAAATGCTAAAAGAAGTAGTCATGCATCACAGTTCATGAGTCTAATTAATTGCTCTTGACTGACTGGAAAAATGGTGGGTCCTGCCAACCCAAATGGTGACCCAGAGGGAGGTACCGGTTGAGTAGGTTCAGTGTTCATTCCTGTGCAGAAGATTTTTGGTCCAATGTTAGAGGAAGTGACATTTTTTGTCTTGCCAATGACCCTTAATTTTCTGTAGGTCCACCCTACA